GTATTTCTATATCACTCTACAATTGATGTATTGAGCACTATTTTAACAGTGGTATTTCTATATCACTCTACAATTGATGTATTGAGTACTATTTTAACAGCGAGAAATGTTTTGTTATTACAATTATTTCTTTATATTTTAGTATTCCGAGAGAATGGAGGTATTAGAATGGATGATTTAAAGATGGTGAATGGTAGCAATGAGGATATACAGGCTGAGAAAGGGTAACAATCATTTTATATAAGCATATATCCCATAACTTATATTAAATTGAATACTGTTTTATTGTCTATTACATCACTATGAACACGGAAGGTCAAGTCGCTATAGACTCGACAACTTTAAACTAAAATCCAGATTTGAAGATAAACAGTAATTGTTATGGATAATATAATTAGTAATAACAAAGTGGATATTTAGCCGTGAACCGGTCGTGTTCCTTATTTTTTATTATTTTTTTTGCCGGTACTTTTGCTTACTCGTGCGCAGTAAAACGATTGAAAATCAAAATAACAACCTAATGACTTATTTATTTATAGTAACATGTACACGACTCTAGCTTACTTCCCATATTTCCATATGAGTTTGGTCGATATATTTCATAGAAACTTTAATTTATTTCGATAGGCCTGAAGAAACTGAAGATAAAGAGTTCTTAGTTTTAGCCAAGTCGTTTTCTATCTGTACGGCGTATGCGGCTAATATTGGGGGTATGGCTACTTTGACGGGAACACCACCTAATGTTATATTCAGTGGTCAAGTCGATACGTAAGTACGTACTATCCCGGACCCCGTTTCTCAAAATATCGTTGGAAAACTGTCCAACTACAATATATACAACATCTCATATGATGACTACACTATACACAGTCTTAATTAACATTGTCTAGGAGTACTCAGAGAATTATTACTATTAAACTATGTGAGAACGTGCCTGGTATCCAATCATAGATATACGCTTTAGATATTTTTTGGGACATCATTTTCATGCTGTATCGATTTGAGGACACATATAAATACAGGTTGAAAACCACTGTCGTAGATTAACGTACGTATAGATCAACGAGTTGAAAACGCAATAATAACGTTTTTCTTCATTTAACGTACAAGTTTAGTCGCACGAATTTTTGAGAAACGGGGCCCTGTTGATTTTGTCATTGTAACTGTCTTATTTGGAGGGTTAACTCAGACGTGAAGACGGGTTGTAGCTCAGTTAGAGCATTTCCATCTTTACATGACGTCATTTCATTGGTAAAATCGAACAGATGGTGGTAGAGGGTTCTTATTTCGGTCGAAGTATGACAGTTTTGTGGCAATAATCATATTCACAACTATTCCAGAAAATGCTAACACTTATATGAATAGAAAGTAGATGTGTTCTAATGACTTGGAAAAATGCCAGTTTGTCTCACATGTCCATAATTAATTCATAATTAGCTAAATTAGAAGAGAGTTTCAGTCACCAGCAGAATTCCAATGAATGGCCGATCAAGAAAGGTCAAAAAGTCTTTTTTTGTTTATCCAGACTGTACATATATGGTCATTCATGATTGGTTAAAACTCTTTAGTTCTAGTTATATGCAATAAGAACATAATGATATGATTAAGAATACATGATAATTCATTAGAAACACCAATTAATCAAATAGTTTGCTTAATTTGACACTAAAAAAGTAAGGAAACCCATCTTTAATTATATACAATAAGAACATAATGATATGATTAAGAATACATGATAATTCATTAGAAACACCAATTAATCAAAAAGTTTGCTTAATTTGACACTAAAAAAGTAAGGAAACCCATCTTTAATTATATACAATAAGAACATAATGATATGATTAAGAATACATGATAATTCATTAGAAACACCAATTAATCAAAAAGTTTGCTTAATTTGACACTAAAAAAGTAAGGAAACCCATCTTTAATATTGCAGTTCCACTTAATTATAATCTATCGCTGACAATGACCATCATGTCACGACTGTGTCTGTGGAACTTTTAAATAGAAAATATTGTTCATACTTTTCAGATTATTCGGACATTACGGACTAGAAAGCGGTGTGAATTTCGCTAATTGGTTGTTAATTGGTATACCAGTTTCGGCTATTATATTTGTATTTTGCTGGGGCTGGTTGACGTTCGTTATGAAAGGTAAAACGTAAGTATTGTCATGTATTTATTAGATGTTTCGCTTTTAAGAGTAAACTCGAGAAAACTGTTTGATTTTAAAATGAATTATCCACGAATTCTATATCTAAAGTAACGTAAGCTCTTTGACTCGAGAGTTCAAACAGAAACAAATTTCATTTGTCTGAGATTATAAAAGGAAATTTATTTTTCGTCAGCGGTCGTTATTTTGCAATTGGTTGAGATCCCCCCTCCACGCCCACACACTACCCCTCACCCCTTTCACGGGCCAAAATAGGAGTCATTCATAATTTTGATTTTATTTTGGTGCTTTGCTTTCAGCAAAGTGACAGACCTTTGTTATCGAAATGTCCAT